TGACTGTTCCCTTGGGTGTGTTTGTTTGCCAGAAGTTGGGTGGATACAAAAGCCAAGTCTCATAGAGGCTGGGACCATAGCTCAGTGGTCAAGCCCTTGCTTGTCAGGCATTAGGCCCTGGGTTTCATCCTTGGCATCACTCATGATGATGATGATGATGAAGAAGAAGAAGATGAAGATGACAATGAAGAAGAAGAAAATAAAAAAGAAGACCAGTGTTGTTGATTATTCTGGCCCCCACCGTAGCTGCCTCAAGCCCATTTTGCTTTGGAGGTGGGATGCTGTTTCTAAACCAAGTGACCTTACTCACTTGCCTTATTGTTGAGACAAAATACCCAACACCGACTGTTTAAAGGAGGGGTGGTTTTCTCTGACTTACAGTCTGTAGAGATTTCAGTGCCAGCCACCTGGCTCCAAGGCCGAACGACATGGTGGAAGGGCCCGGGAAAGCAAAGCTGCTCACCTTATGGTCTGGAGGAGGTGGAGAGGTCACGGCAGGAGCTGAAGAGAGGTGCAGTATAACCTTCCGTGTCATCTGCTGGGATCTACCTCTTCCAATCAGGCACCACCCCCTAGAGCAAGTCAGCAAGAAGCCCCCATAATCCAGTTACCCTCCTTCCTTGAGGGTGAAGCTCTTGGGTGGCACCTAGATATGAACCATAGCATTCCCTTTCTTTCCCAGGTCCCTGTTGGACATCTGCCTCACCAGGCCACCAACTTAACAGGAAAACACGTCTTGTGGAATTGTTCACCCTGCTTAACTTCATATGCTGTGTCTATGCCCTTGCCAAATAAGTATTTTGATTTTCTATTCTGTTTTGGAAACTAAGGACAATTTTGACTAGTCTAAAGAGACAAGCCTCGGGGCTGGGATTTAGCTCAGTGGCATAAGCACCTGCCTTCCAAGCAGGCAGTTGGGAGTTCAATCCCCGGTACCGATAAAAATGAAAAAGACAAAAAAAAAAAAAAAAAGAGACAAGCCTCTGGATCCTTCTCTTTATCGTATTTGGTAATGAATTTTGTCCAGAAATCTACACACTATGTAGAAAAGTGATTGAAACTGTATTTTAACATATAATGGCATAGTTCTTAAAAACTGATGTGCTAGAAATCCCATGGAGAAGTATCAACAAAACCTCAGCATTCCCGGTGAGGTTTGGCACAACTGCAAGGGCTTCCAGCAGAATGTGAGATTGAATCACTGGTGAAGAAGTCATTGTAGGACCTATTTTAGGTCCCAGACATTTTTAATAAGGATATCTAGACATATGGCAGCTCTCAGAACTCCAACAAGGCTGGAGGGACATTTTTGTCTTGTATTTATCGAATACCTGCGAGGAATGAGTCACTGAGCCAGATGCTAGGGCCGCTGCAGTGCCAAGATATCCCAGATTCTTGTTCTCAAAAAGCTCTAGACCTGTTGGTGATGCTTCTGAACCTCCACTGCATTGCCCTTTCTGCCCATAGGATTCCCAGCACACCTACAGTCCTGCCCACTAAAAGATAGTACTACATCCCAAAAGTCTATCTGACAGAAAGGTGCGTCTCCCACTTCTACTCCCATCCTACTCTCTGAGAACTATGGGTGAGGGAAGGAGGTGGCAACACTGACATAAATTCACAAACACATGAAGATTTTGTGATGCGGGTGGTCAGGTAGTTGTGGCCAGGAACAGATGTGGGAAGAAGGGAAAAGGGTAAGCGTTAGTTACTTTTCCCATTGCTGAGACTAATACCGGATACTCAAAATTAAATGGGGGAGGTTTACTTAGTTGGTAGTTTGTAGAGGTTTCAGTTCATAACCCGCTGGCTCCAAGGCAAAGTGGCATGGCAGTGGGGCATCACAGAGGAGAAACAGTCCTTGGCAAGCAGGCAGGTGAGAGCAAAAGCAGGCAAAGGCCCTGAGCAGCTTCTTTCTGCCACTTTATACTCTATGTAGGCTACTGGGATTAGGGCTGTGCCAAACCAATCAATGGACTGATTTAGTAATCACACACTCTTAATCCTGACATTGCACCATGGATCAGTTACACACTCATGATCCAATGACCTCTGAAAACCTCCACACATGACCATATGAGGCTTTGGGAGAACATCTAAACACAAGCCATAACAGGTAGGAGGATGAGAAGGTGCAGACATGAGATTTCTGGGGATAGGGAGTAGCATGTGTGACGGTCTCAAAGTGGGAGACAGCATGGTGAATTTAAAAACCATGGGAAGAATGGCTAGTATGAGAAATCAAGTCATAATAAATGCTGGCCAGGAGTGCAGGTTGGGGGGCTTCTACATTGCTGGTGTGAATGTAAACTGGTACAGCCACTATGGAAATCAGTATACCTAAGAAACTAAAAATAGAGATTGCATTCAACTCAGCTTTCCTTCTAGTATCATCCCAAAAGAGTTAATGTCATCAGATTATAGTAATAGATGCATACCCATGTTTTACTTTTTTTTTTTTTTAACTTATCGGTACCGGGGATTGAACTCATGACCGCCTGCTTGCAAGGCAGGTGCTTATGCCACTGAGCTAAATCCCCAGCCCCTATACCCATGTTTATAGCATGACAATTCACAATAGGTAAATTCTGGAGGCAGTGGCCTATATGTCCATCAACAAATGAATAAATAAAGAAAATATGGTATGTATACACAGTGGAGTACTACTCTGTCATAAAAAGATAAACAAGTCATTTGTAGGAAAGTAGATACACCTTGAATCCATAATTTTAAGTGAAACAGATCACATGTAACAGTACAAATAGCACATGGTTTCTCACATACAAGAAACCCAAAGTATAAATAAATTAAAGAGTAAAATAAAAGATAGACAATAGGAAACAGAGGGATAGATCTCCAAAGGAAAAGGGACTGCGAGATGTTGGGAATGGAAAGGGACATAAAAAGGATTAAAAGATACAATGTACATGTACCAACTACCCACAATGAATGGTTTTATTATGTGCTGCACACATAACAAGCATGGATCGATGAGGCCTTGGGTTCCATGTCCAAAAACAAAATAAAACAAAACACAAAAGGAAGACAGGTGGGGATGGAAAGGGGAAGTTGGAGAGCAGGCAGGGGCCAGGCTGGGTGGTCATGAACTCGGTTGTATTCTGTTTCCTATTGGAAACCACCAAAGCACTGTAAGAAGGAACTCAATGTGGTGATAATGAGAAATAGTTAACACTACAGGCACTGGATTAGATTTCAAGCCCCCTGCCCCCTGTGTATATTTAGTATGTGCTCATCACAGTCACAGGGGCAAGCACTATTTATAAGCCCCATTTATAGACAAAGAAACTGAAGCACCAAGCCTAGATAACTGGTGCAGTCACACAGCTAGTAAATTCTGAACAGGGAAGCTGTATTGATGATGCCTTTAAATAAAAGATCAGCCAGGTCGTGGGGCAGAAGGGCTGATGGTGGGAAGGAGTAGAAACCAGGAGGCTTGAAATAATCCAGGTAGAATGTGGGGGTCATTACAACAGGGCTGGCCTGGAAGAGGCAGGTGGGCTGCTGGCCTCGCTCCAAACCCCTCAGTGATTAAGACAATAATATTTCAATACAATATTCTAAAAGTCAAGATGATGGGAAAATCCCATTATGAACAAAATATCAAAGTTTTAATGAAAAACAGGGTGGTGGTCCTGACTTTATTCTTTCTTGTAGGCTCAGTATGGCAGGGCAGGGCACTGGCTAGGACTAGGCTAGAGACAGGCCGGGATAGGGGTGTGTGTGTGTGTGTGTGTGTGTGTGTGTGTGTGATGGGGTGTGGGGGGGGGTGGCGGGAGACTCACAGAGGAGTTGAGCACCTCTCCTGTTGCTGTTAGGTGCTATCATACGTCTCGCCATCATCTATGTTCCCCATACGGGGTTGGGGTCTTGTCCAGGGTCTTCCTGTCCTAAACAAAGACTTGAGCAGAACATCCAAAGCAGCAATGAGTTTTTTAAGGGAGAAAAAGCCAAAATGCACAACACACAATAGCAGAGGGATGGTCAAATCTGCACAGGCAGTGACACTGCAGTAGTAGGACTGGTGTTGGTCCAGAGGTGCAGAAGACCACTGGGCACAAGCCCGGGGACGGTCTGTGCAGAAGCTAAGTTACCTGGTTAACTTTCTGAAATGTATTTAGACCTAGGCATCTTGGTCTTGATGTTTAACTCAAAAGGTACCCTAATCCCAGAAAGTGGGCTCCAAACTGGGCGTTCTTTTCCTTTACCCTCCGTTTTCTTGATTATCATCAGTCTTAGATCTAGCCCAGAAAGCGGGCTCCAAAGCCAATCACCATCCTTTCTTTCTTCAGCCCTTTGCTTAGCTATCTCTTGCTTCATTTTCCAAAGAAGCTGGAGTCCATTCTGGCAGAACAGGTTTCATTTATTTAAACAGTTGCCCTTTGCATCCGAGGGCGCGATTTATTTCCCCACAATTCTGAGGAAGGTCTTGGGGTGTAAGTTCAGAGAATGAATGGAACGCTGCCGAGGGAGACAGAAGGTAAAGAAGCAGCCGGCCGGGGGCAGTGTGAGGCTGGACCACACAGCAGGTGGATGGGGAAGAAGTATTTGCCAGCAGCCTTCCTAGCCCAGAGAGCTGCACAATGTGTCGCCAACCAGGCCAGGCGCACAGCGAGACTCACAAACTGTTACTCAGTATTTTAAAATTAAAAAAGCAACAAAGAAATCCCTGGAAAATGCAAGTCCTGTTATAGTAGCTTCAAGAAATTCAGCAACACGGAAGAATTGGATTTGGTCACTTGAGAAACTGCTCAGGCGGAGCTATCCCTGGGGTCCTGCTCTGTCACTTGGGATACAGGTCCTGAGGGCCGCACAGCCGGGACCGGGGCAGCAGGGTGACTGCGGCCTACCGGGGGTGGGAGGGGACGAGTCGGATCGCGCAGGGCGGGGCGGCGGGAGTGAGAAACTGGGCGGAGTTAGAGTTGAAACCAGCCGCGGGGGGGCGTGGAAAAGCAGGACGGGCGTGTCCGAAGAGGCGTGGCTCAGCAGAGTAGGCGTGCCCATTCGCTCCGGGGCGTGGCCTGCGCGAGGCGACGCGTGGGTCGGGAAGATGGCGTTGCGTCTGCTGTGGAGGGCGGCGCGTGGAGCGGCGGTGGCGTGGTCGACGCTGTGAGTGCAGGTCCCCAGTCCCCGCCGTTGGCCCGGGCTCGCTCAAGCCGGGCTCTGCCCACAACCCCCGCGAGAACCTCTGTGTGCCCCTCGCGCGCGGGCTCGACCTCAGCCAAGGTCAACTGCTGCGGCGCCTCCGCGGGCGGGCGGAGCGCGGAGCCGGGAAATGGGCGCAGGCGGGAGCGGCGGCCTCGCGTCCTTAGCACGGCGGTTCTCGGACGTTTGGTCGCAGAAACTACCGAGAGTCCTAGAGAGCTTTGCCTATACAGTATCTTCCTTTTCGTGATATTGGGAATTAAAACAAATTTAACACAGGGGCGCGCTACCACTGAGTTACATCCCCAACCATGTTTTTTATTTTGAGAGGTCTTACTAAATTTCCCAAGCTGTACTTGAACTTGCAGTCCTCCTGCCTCTGCCTACCGAATAGCTGGTATTGCAAGCCTGTCCCACCGTGCCTGGCTAACATAAATAACATGTGTTAATGAAGAAAACTTTTAAATTTCTATTTTTTTTTCTTTTGCTTTGTGCATGCTGGACAAGTGTTCAGACATTTGCTACGCTACCTGGTGCTACCTCTCCAGCCTTTAAAGAAAAAAACCGAGCAGAGTAATGGTTTTATATATTTGATTTATTTTAGGTTTTGTATTTTTGACACTTTTTGACTTAATAAGGGATAATCTCATATCAGCTACTTTGGAGGAAATATTTGAAAGAAATTCCGAATTTTGGCAGATGCAAAAATTGATTGAAAAAGGACCAAGTGGACCTTCTGAAAAGAGTTGGGGCACCCAGGTGTCCTTGGACTGTGCTTTGAGAACCACTGGTCTAGCACTTGTCTGTTCATGATACACACAGACATGACCTCATTTGGCTTTTCTGAACACTGTGAAGAAGTTGAGGTTAGGTTTATACAGAGAAACAATGAGGAAACCGAGACTCTCAATGTCCTATAACCAACAGTGTCAGGGTTTGGTTCTGAACCATCGTTATAGTTCCTAGTCTGTCACTTTTTTTTTAACTTTTTTTTTTTTTTTTTTTTTTTTTTTTTGTCTTTTTCGTTTTTATCGGTACCAGGGATTGAACTCACGGTACCAGGGGTCGAACTCACGGCCGCCCGCTTGCAAAGCAGGCGCTTATGCCGCTGAGCTGAATCCCCAGCCCCTAGTCTGTCACTTTTTACATTTTCTTGCCCTGTCCATGGGCGGGCCCAACTTGTCATATGCATCCCACCTTTGCAGTCTCCATATCTGACACAGGGCCCTGACTCAGCTGCCCCCCACCGTGAATAAAATAGTAGCAGGGGAGATGAACCCAGGCCCTCCAGATTCCACTACTGAACACGAAGGGGCAGCCTGTGTGGCCTTCCAGCTTGGTTAGGGCTGCACAGCCAGTTCCCAGCTCCCAGCATGCCCTAGTGCCTTCTCACCACACCTCCACACTCCCTGCCAGGCCACTGCATAGAGAGCCTCACCACTGACTGGGTAAACACGGGCCTTGGCATCTTGAGAACACACCAGGATGGGGTAAATTAAGGACCTGAGTGTCAGTTGCTCTTTGGTGGCTTAATTTCTCTGTCCAATGGGTTACCCTTTAGCTCAGTGGCTTTTGCCTTCTGTTTCTAGAATATTTGCACCATTCCTGCACAGGCAAGGGTTCTTCTTCAACCATGTTCCTGGCCCTGCAGCATGTGCCTCTGGTTGCTGTGCTGAATTTATGCTCTTGGGGCAGCCAGAAGATGGCTGTGTGTTCTAATGTGCATACATGTGCATGCCTGTGACTGTTCCTATGCAGAGCTATCCTTGATCATACTGAGCTACACGTGTTCTTATTGATGTCTCCAACACTACTTTGACCACACATGGATGATGGACAGAGACCATTCTAAGCCACTTTGCTGTGCGGGTTTATAAATCACCACTCCAGCAGTGAAAAACCTGGCTGCCCCATCCACCATGCCTTTGCTGTTATTCAGTTATAGCTTGCAAGTGTAGTGTTGTCAGGATAGTGAAGCCACACCGGCAGGGGAAGAGTTTAGCCACCAGCCTACCGTGCTCACATGCAGTTGCTTCCCCTGTGGTCTCATAGGCTCCACTCATTTCCAGAGTTACTTAGCTCAGCACCTCTTCCTGCCTGTCTTTTTCCTGGAGCCTTCTCCACCTGTCTGCCCTGTGGCTGTAAGACAGCTGGACACTCTCCTCACAGTCTGCGTTCTTCTCCAGAATCTCTACCTCCGACATAACTTTTTTGTTCCCTGTGGTACAGGGAATTGAACTCAGGACCTCATGTTTGCCAAAGTGGTACTGTGCCGCTGAATTATTTCCCTTGCCAATGAGATAACTTTTTAACAGCAAAACTGAGGTTGATTCTTTGTGCTGTGAAGTTCTGTGGTTGTGATGAATACATAATGTCCCGTGTCTACCATTACCTTATTAGAGTATCACATGGGATTGCTTTCCCTTCTGAAAAATCCAGGCTCCTTCACCTGTTCACCCATCCGCCCCTTGCAAGCTGCTAGCACTCATGGATCACGTTACCGTGTCTATGTTTTGCCTTTGCCAGAATGTCATAGACCTGCAATTATGCAGTGTGTAGTCTTTTTAGACTGGGTTCTTTCACTTGAAAATACGTGTATAAATTCCTTTGTATCATCCAGGCATGGTGGTGCATGTCTGTGATCCCCGAACTTTGGAAGGCTGAGGCAGGAGGATCACAGGTTTGAGTCTGGCCTGAGCAACTTAGTGAGAGCCTGTCTCAAAATAATATAAAGAAAAGGGCTGGGAATGTAGGTCAGTGTCACTCTCCGGTACACACACACACACACACACACACACACACACACACACACATACGCACACTCATTCATGTCTTTTTTGTGGCTTGATAACTCAGTTCTTTTTATTGCTGAGTAATATACCATTGTATAGGTGTAGTATAGTTTGTTTATCCATTCGTCTTTTCCTTTGGTCATTTTTTTTTTAGTCCCCCACCCCACCCTTCCTTTGGTCATGTTGATGGTCACCAGTATCCAGCTCACAACCTTGTGCTTACCAGGCCAGTGCTGCACCATCCCCAGCCCTCTTTTCACTTACTGAAAGACATTTTGGATGCTTCTATGTTTCTGTTGATTATGAATAAAGCTGATATGTATAATATAGAGCCATCTATATAAAATTACAGATTGTTTATGCACATAAATTTTCAGATCCATTGCGTAATTTCCTAAGAACATGATTTTTTTATTGCTTGGCAAGATGATGTTTAGTTTAATAAGAAACTACCACGCTCTTCCCAAGTGGCTGTGCCATTTTATATTTCTTCCATCATTAAATGAGCATTCCTGGATTACTGGTTTTTAAAAGAAAAGTTTAGCCATTCCAGTAGGTGTGTAGTGATGTCTTGCTTTAATCTGTTAATGTGTTATAACATGAAGTTTTCTTGAATGGTACTGAGTATCTTTTCATGTGCTTTTTTGCCATCTGTATTATTCTTGGTGAAATCCATGAGGCTCTTCTGCCTGTTTCTTAGATGGCTACTGTGCTGAAGGTATAGTAAGAAATACCTTCTTGGTCTCTCTTCCTGTTTCTGGTGCATGTCTGTCTCCTGAAGCCCTTGGAGTCCCTAGAGTGATGCATCTTTTGTATGCTAATGAGATTCCTGGTGTTGGGGCCCTGTTGAGATTTAGGACCAGGGCATGATTGGAGAGTTGGAACTTCAATCCTCTAACCTCAGGGCAGGGAGAGAGGACTGAGGGCCGAGTTGGTGCCCGATGGCTGATGATGTCAGCAATCATGTTTGTGGCATGAAGCGTCCCTCAAAATCCCAGAGGCCAGGGTTGGTGAACTTGAAGGGAGACTCCTGGAGAGCTGTGTGTGGAGGCTGAACAGTAGCCCCACCTCTGCCCCGTACCTTGCTCTGTGCCTCACTCCCACCTGGCTGTTTACCCTTATCCTGTAAAATACAGCTTATGGAAAAGAAGGAAATGTGTTTCCTTGAAGTTCTGTGAGGAGCTCCAGCAAAATAATTGAGCCCTAAGAGTGGGTTTTAGGGAGCCCCAACTTCAGGCCAATAGGCAGGACCCAAGCACTAAACCCAGTTTTATTTTATTTTGCATGGAAAACTTGGTTTGCATGGGAAGGTGGGGTGGCCTGGCCTTTCACTGTGTGTGTGTGTGTGACTGTCCAGACACTGGGGTTGGAGGTGAACAGAACTCTGGGATGCCCAGCTGCTTGGAGTGTAGAGGAGGCCCCTTGCCTTTCCTGGCCTGCATATGTTCTGTGCTGTGTTACAGGTGAGGGTAGGAAATGCACTTTGGCTTCTTCCTGTTTTCTTACTGTTGAGTTTTAAGTACTGCTGATATATATTAATCCTTTATCAGATGTGTGTTTTGCAAAGATTTTTTGCACATCTGTGGTCTGGTCTTGACTTTGCAGTTTCTTTGTAGTATTTTCTTTTCTCCCTTTCTCTCTCCTTCCTTCCCTCTCTCTCTCTTGAGATAGGGTTTTACTGTGCAGTTCGAGCTAGGCTTGAACTCAGTTTGTAGCCCAGGCTGATCCTCCTGCCTCAGCCTCTCAAGTGCTGGGATTACAGGCATACGTCATCATGCCCGGTCTTACAGTGTTTTCATGGAGCAAAAGTTTTTAATTTTAGTGATGTTCAGCTTATCAGTTTTGTCTTTTGTGAATCATGTAATTTGCATTTTATCTAAAGATTTATTGCTAAACAGAAGGTCATAGGTTTTTCTCCTATATTTTCTTGTAGAAGTTGCATTTTGCATATGTTTATAATACAGGAAACTGATGTTTGCTTTCAGGAGCTGATATATGTGTATAACATATCTCCATCATTCTTTAGAGGTTTTATAGTATGATATTTTGTACTTGCTGTGACTCATTTGGAAGGACTCTTTATTAAGGTGTAAGGTCTATATATACTTTAATGTGCATACATCTATCTATCTATCTATCTATCTATCTATCTATCTATCCTGGGAGTTAAAC